CTGGTCAAATTCCCGCCGCGCCGCGCCACGCCGCATGATTGACATCGTGTAACATCAGCAGCACACACACACGCATGCGCCTCACCATGCGCCTCACCATGCGCCTCACCATGCGTCTCACCATGTGTCTCACCATGTGTCTCACCATGTGTCTCACCATGCGTCTCACCATGCGTCTCACCATGTGTCTCACCATGTGTCTCACCATGTGTCTCACCATGCGCCTCACCATGCGTCTCACCATGTGTCTCACCATGTGTCTCACCATGTGTCTCACCATGTGTCTCACCTTAATCATTCACGCACACACATCAAAAGAGAGAAGGAGGAAGTTGTTTATTGTCTGTGCTAACTGAGCTGTAGAGCTCTCACTGCTGCACTGTGCCGCTTGAAAGTGATGAGGCACGTGTCCGTGCGCTTACTGGCGGGCGCGTCCTGAAGACCTGTGTGAATTTTCCACAGGAGATATTTTTACTTTTTTGTCTATTCAAGAAATTACCCACCAATGCTCCACATATACATACTTATTTATTTTAATACTGTACCTGAAGTTATATTTGAGCCAAAAGCCTGTGTCACTGTTTTTGTTTGTTTGTTTGTTTGTTTGAGATGATTTTTCAAGAGCTGGTTGTATCTTGGTTAAAATGTTCTATTAAAGCAAAGATAGAAAACATTACAATATCTTGTGTGCTGTAAATTGGGTTTGAATACAATGAAATCGGAATCGGCCCAAAAAATTGTAATCTAGTCTATGTAATCTACTATGTTACGTTATGTTCATTTCATTTCATTTATTATACAGGAAAAGATTAAAGGTAACATTATAGGTACAGTTAAAGTGGCCTGACTCAGTTTAAACTGGTTTACAGCAGGTTCCTGTTCTGCAGCACACACAGACATGACAAAAACACAGTGCAACAGGACAGTCACATTCTCAAGACATTAACTTAGTCTAGTACAGACAGTTACAAAACAGTACAAACAGACGGTCAGTGATTACAGGTGTAACTGTTGAAAAGAAACTGTTTGTAAACCTTTTTAAATTGTGTGCTAGATGGTAGTGCTGTGATATGTTTGGGGATGTCATTCCTCATTTTGGTGTATGTATGAAAGAAGGACCTCTGCCCATAATTATTTTTGTCAGCAGGCAGTGGAAGAAGTGCCATTGAGACTGATCTAGTGACGCGCTGTTGAGGTGTGTTGTGTGTTGGAAGAAGGGCAGTAAGTGTCGGTGAGGTGCTGTTTTGAATCTGAAGTTAGAATACAAGAGCTTGGCTTTATATGTAGGTTTGAAATGTCAGAGCGTGACAGTGCGATGCAGTGGTGTGACCACTTGGGAAGATTACTGTGGATCTCGATTATACAGTCGTGCTATTGGTTCAGTAATTTCCTTTGTGGTAAGGGACCAAATAGGTTGGCTGTAGGAAATTGTGGAAAACGTAATTGCATGCAAATAGGTTTCAGAAAGAGAGAGAGAAAGGTATGTTCTAATTTTGTTGTATACATAAAGTTTCTGATTCAATTTCTTTGTTAACTGAGAAACATGTTGACGATATGTGAGGTGTGAGTCGGGCAACACACCAAGATATTTGTGTCTGTGATAACAAGGTTTTGATTTGAGAAAGTGCTAGGGTCTATGTTATGTTACGCTATGTTACCTATGTTACACTATGTTATGTTATGATACGTTATGCTACGTCATGTTAGGTCATGTTACGCTATGTTACCTATGTTATGCTATGTTACGTTAGGTTACGCTATGTTACGTTATGTTGTGTTATGTTACACTATGTTATGTTATGTTACCTATGTTATGTTATGTTATCTATGTTACACTATGTTATGTTATGTTACGTTACACTGTGTTATGTTATGTTATCTATGTTACACTATGTTATGTTATGTTACGTTACACTGTGTTATGTTATGTTATCTATGTTACACTATGTTATGTTATGTTACGTTACACTATGTTATGCTATGTTATGTTACATTATGTTACGTTACACCATGTTATGTTATGTTACGCTATGTTACATTATGTTACACTGTGTTACGTTATGTTATGTTACCTATGTTACGTTATGTTAAGATATGTTACCTATGTTACGTTATGTTAAGATATGTTACCTATGTTACATTATGTTACGTTGTGTTACCTGTTACGTTATGTTATGCTATGTTACGCCATGTTACATTATGTTACACTAGGAGAGCAACTGAGGAGGGATCCCTCTTCCAGGACGGACAGATGTGCAATAGATGTCGTACAGAACAGATCAACATAATAAATTAAGAGTAATTAACAATAACTATGTTATGTTCCGTTACGTTACCTTATGTTACGTTATGTTACGCTGTGTTACGTTACACTATGTTGCGTTATGCTATGTTACATTATGTTGTGTCACGTTACCCTATGTTACGTTACATTACGATACACTATGTTATGCTATAATATATGTTACATTGTGTTACGCTATGCTATGCTATGCTATGTTATGTTATGTCATGTCATGTCATGTTATGTTACGTCAGTATCGACACTGATCGATTTGATTGTCCTTTTTGACTGATCAGTTAATCTGATGACATCACTGAAGACAGCGTTTCATGTTTTTCTCTCTCAGGATATAAATCTGGACGCCAGACTAACGGCATCCTGGAGACGACAGGAAACATGTCTGAGACAGAGATCTTCCCCGGGACACCTTAAAGGACGCAGTACACTCAGTATGTACAAGTCAGAGGACGCAGCCTGTTAGCCATTAGCCATTAGCTGTTAGCAGCTAGTAAAGTTAGCTGTTATCAAATAGGTAATGTTAACTGTTAGCAGCTAGTTAACATTAGCTGACGGGGGTTACACTGAGATGTGTTAAGGCTCTACTCAGTAAAAATGAGGACTGGTTAAAGGTAAATTATAATGTTCTCATGTTGTGTTCAGTGTAATCATGTAAAATGTAGCTTTCAATGATAAACCTGAATAAATGCAGCTGTTTGAAGGAGAAATGTGTTGATGTTTTCACAGGAATATAAAATAGATATTAGAGGAAATTCTGATTTAATGTTTGTAGGAAAAACATTATTTAAAAATGTTTTCAGTGCGACAGGTTTATTACTAAAGGTTGGTAAAAGTGTCTGACTGAATCTGTGGTCATTAGCAGCAGCAGGGTAACGACGGACTTTAAAACTGTTACTTTTTTTTATTTAGATTTCTTTGTTTCCCTGGAAAAACAGAGGGAGCAAACAACAACAACAACCAAATGAACCCCCACTAAGGACAGAG